TTTTTTTGAAAAAAATCGAAGTTTGAAGCTATATTTCGCTTTTCATTCGTTTTTAGGGTTAGGGTTTAGAGTTTATGTGTGTTTCAAGGTTAGGGTTTTGACTTTTTTTTAAATTAAAGCTAGGGTTTATCGTTTTTTGGGGTTAGTGATGTACATGAAATAGTACATTTTACCGAACATTAATGCATACTACGTAGAGCTATATAATGTCAAATTTCACTTTGATAGTGTGTTTTATTGTTTAAAGGAAAACGAAGATCGAACTCCAAAAATAAATGAAAACAATTTCAAAAAATCACGAAGTTGTAGTACAGACGCGACCAAAGGTAGCGCCACGCAAGCAGATTGGGCAGATGGCTTGACGCGACCAGAAGTCACATAACAGGTCGCCTCGCGCGACCAGAAGACATTTGTAGCAGCAATTATTATTTTTTGGCTGAGATTGGACCAAATGGTGTTTAATGAGAAGTATACTATCAATTGGAGTACGGAGCCACTATGCACCTAGACCACTAGATCAAACCTTATATGGTTCAATTAAAACAACAGCAGCAACAACGAGTTGGCTTGAGAAAGAGAGTTTGAAAGGAAATCAAATTGCAAAGCTAGAATCGTGGAAATCAATCTCTCAAGGACCGACTCTACTGACTCAGGTGGTGTTTGTTTTTTCAGTTATGGTACTTCTGATAGCTTATAAGCTATTAGAAAACCATAAATAGTGTTTGTTTTTATGGGTAGTTATGGTCTTATAAGATTTTCTAGTAGAAAATGGTATAAAAAGTGGCGGTTACTATAAGCTATATTCTCAAACTTATAGCTAGTAGCTAGTAGCTAGTAGCTTATAAGCTATAAGCTATCAGATAAAAAAACAAACAGCACTTCAATCTTCCCAATCTCTCGATCCATCCTTCCCAATCTCTCTCTCCTAAATATACATAACTTCAAAACCTAGAACAAGGTGGCGGCCGAAATTAAGAGAATAAGAAGAGAAGAAGACAGCAGCAGCAGTAGCAGAGATGGCAAGGTGGAAGATACGAAGAACGCAGATTTCGTCATTAATGGCCAATTCTAAACACTTCTTTGCTTTTACAATGTTTATATCTAGCTAAACCTCCAACTAGGGCTTAGATGAAGCCCTAGATTGGAGTAGATTTTTAGTTGTTTCATTGTATCGTTCTCTCGAATTTGCGCTTAATTGAATTAAATTTGGTTAATTTCCGATATTTTTGAGAATTGTTTTCACCAATTATATCTAGTATGTTTAAATTCATATGTGACTAGTTGGTAGTTTGATTTCCTCTTTTCATGATATCAAAGCATGTGTTTATCGTTTTATTAAATTTGTGAGAAGTTCGTACTGTAAAAAGACAACTTTTGCTAGGAATTTATATTTTCGCTGAGATTAATCAAAACCAAGTTTTGACTTTTATTACAAATTTACAAAAGCTTACGCGATCATATCTTCGAGAAAGCAAGGTTTCATTTTTCCTCATACTACTCGCTTAAAAGAGAGAATTTTATAATAAGACAATTAGATTTCTATGATAATCTAAGGTGGATTCGAATGTCCTAGTGTTTTTCCCAATTGCTTAAATCACAATTTTCCTGTTTTCGTAGATATAGTTAGTTTAATAATTTACATTGTAGTAACCCCCTTTCGAATTGGTTTAAGTAGATTTTTAATATTTGATTGAACAACAATCTCTGTGGGATTGACTCGTGCACTTGCGATTATAACTAGAGTTTTAAATTGTATGTTAATTTAGGTAGTTCAAAAACCACAACAAGTTTTTGGCGCTGTTGTCGGGGATTGTCAATAGTGCAATCGAATATTAGTAGTTTACTTTTTCTAATTCTAGTTTTTATATTT